ACACACACACACACACACACACACACACACACACACACACACACACACACACACACGTAGTTATGCACGCATACGAACAAGCAACCCCATCCATCACCAGCATTCATATTCTGCTCTACACAAAGACTTTCAGTTCTAATAAATGATGATTTTGGCTGAAAAACTTAATAAATTTCAAAATTAGCAAAAGCCCTAAAGCACTAATCAGGAAATTAGTTCCCCTATTAGTGCTTTAGGGGAACTGGTCTGCAAATTGTTGAATGAGCATTTACAGAAATGTATAGAAACAAAGTACATTTACTTTGTTACGTACATTGTAATTTTTACCAAGTATTTTTTAATTGTAACTTTAGTTTTTACATTCAAAACATAAACGTGATATTTTACTTTTTWCTTAGTCACAACTCAACAGTGAGTTAAGCTTTTACTTTTAATAGCATTTGTCTTATTTATTTTATTTTATTTATTGTTTAACCAGGCAAATCCCATTGAGATCACAGATCTCATTTTCAAGGGAGGCCTGGGCCTGAAGGCAACCTTACTGTACGTTTTTCATTTATTTCAATCAGTCGTACACGTAGTGATTTTCAGTGTTTAGAGGACATGTAAAATTGCTGTTTCAATCCAGGAAATACCAGGTAGAGCTCAGACATTGCTGAACGTGACAATTTGTTTAGTTGAAAATAAACATGACACATCAAAGTTCATTAAAACTGGCCCTTTGAGGGCCACCATAATGCTCACAAGGCCCTCGGTGGAAATGAGTTCAACGTTCCTGTCTTTATAAAAGAAAAAGCTCATGTTTTGTTTGTCAAAGGTCAGAAACAGTATCTGCTGTTAAGAAGTCAACATACTGACAGGAAGTCTCAGTGCTGTAGGTTTTGGAGAATTTACTTGAATTAAGAACAAATACAGAACAAGTCAATCTTTACATTATTACTGAAACAAAGAATAGTTCAGTTTTATGATTCTTTAACATTGCAGACAACTAAAGTTAGGATTTGCTGGATGGATGATTTCATGTGTTTTTAACCCCTAAAGTCTGATTCTGCGTTATGCCATGGATTAAACACAAAAAAGCGATGTTTATAAAATGCACAGAGATAAACTCAACATTGTGTCAAAATATATCAGTCAAGCTTTATTTGTCGCAATTGTTCTTGAACAGACAAATGTAATACTAGTCAGTTTTTACACTGCGAGTTTTGTCCTGCAGAAATTAGAGACTATCAAGGAACTATGTATAAAAAGTGGGATACAAAAGAGAAAGCATAATTGTGCATCATCCGAACTCTTCAGATGTCACAAACATCCATCTCAATTCATTGATGAACGTGTTTATATCTTCTTGGTGGAAACAGTTTTTGCTGAGCGTTTTCCTGCTACCTTTCCAGTTGCTTTGACGTCTTCACAGCTGTGGTCCTCTGCACTGCTTTGGACTTGGCCTTTGTTAGTTTTTTGACTTTGACAACCGGAGCAGATCTTCTCGTCCAATCTCCGCCATATAATCCTCCCACAACTCCATGTCATTCTTGTAACGGATTTTGTCATCCTCAGCTAGTTGTGTGTATACCTGAAACAGGATGGAGAAGAAAACAAAATAAACCCACTTGAACAGACAAGAAAGATGTTAATAACCTGTAATAACTGAGTGTCAAACCTTTTTATCGTGACTTGACAGATTCTTCCAATCTTCCATCAGAGACATCAGTTTTGCCTGAAAATTCAGAACAAACTATATTTAGTACGGCTCAGCAAAAAAGATGTTAACTGTTCAATTCTTGGTACCGTAGTCATAGGCCTGTCACAATAAGAAATTTTACTGGACGATAAATTGTCTTAAAAATTATTGCGATAGATGATAATATTGTTGGAGACCAGTTTAAACTAGGGTTAGGGCGATGTGGCCCCAAACAAAAATCTACTATTTTTTTTCATCCCAAATTCGATTTTAATCGATTTTGCTTCCCACTTAACAGAGTGCCTCTGTTTCAGGTGTCACAACAAATTTGTTGTACTCCTGCTTTTTGTAGCAAGAGCCTTCAAACAGATTTTGCAGTGAGATATTCGTTGCTCCAAGTCCGAGGTTGCAAAACCTAACCAGTTCCAGAAAACTGAACAAACAATGCCTTTTTTGAGAAGTAGATCCTCTTTGCTAGCTGCCATATTGTCATGTCATGTACCAAGCATCTTGAGGGACAGGTGGGGTGATCTCTGAACTACAGAAGACCAAAGAGTGCACTGGTGAGAAAAAAATCTCGATTTTCCCTAAATTAAATCTTTATAAATGGCAAATTCGAATTAATCGATTAAATCGATTTATCGCCCAGCCCTACTAGGGATGCACCGATATGAAAATTTCAACAGATATCGATATCCGATTTAATTATTGCTGTTATGGCCGATAACCAATATTTACAGATATTACACAAACTCACAAATTATATTTTACACATACGCACAAACACACTTGGGTCTTTTTTTTTTTATACTGTAAACAAACAACCAGACGTCTGACATGGCTCCCTACTTCAGTTATTCCTGGTTATGCAACATCAATATCAATATTATGATCAAACAAATGTTGCTCAACCAACCATGTCCTCTCCCAAAAACAGAAACACAAAGCTCAAAAGTGGGAAATCAATATCGGACGGTAATATCTGCCCAGTTTTACATATCAGACCGATACCGACATTAGTGCCGATAAATCGTGCATCCCTAGTTTAAACTAATATAATGATATAACAACCAATGTTTACGGAATTTTACATTAAAATTTACAAAACAACTGTCAGCAATCCCAAGGTGTCGCCAGCTGTCAGAAAACTGAAGACATAGGTCTGTCACGATAACAAATTTTGGTGGGCAATTAATTGTCTCAAAAATTATTGCGATAAGGGATAATATTGCCTGGTAACCATTTTACAACTAATAATTATAAAAGTGTAATATGTAAGTGTAATAAATCAACAAACTTTAATTTTTAAAGAATGTTTAACAAAGTGGACTCACAAAAAATGCACTTGAATAAAAAAAACAACAACAAAGAACAAAATGTAAATTAAACACCACACACAACTAAGACAGTAAATCGAGCTCTCATGCTAAAGCGAGAGTTGACTCCTCCCACACTAAGAAAACAGGAGGGGAGGAGTCAGCTGAGCTCCTGTGCAGCGGAGCACAGAGAGGGAAAGAGACGAAGTAAACAAACAAGCAGGAAAATGAAACTTATCGTCCTCATTTTTTTTACCGACCTCAAAATAATTTATCGTGCAATTAATTGATTTATTGACTTCCGCGACAGGCCTATGAAGACACACCTCTGGCTAAATGCCTGTTCACGGACTTTCATGTTACAGAGGTTAGGAGACCATGCAACTACAAATACCTGACACCAAAGTTCACTGCTCTCTACGCTAAGAAGTAAAAAAAGAGGGAAACACAAAGAAAAGCATGCAAATTAAAATTATTGTCTTCACTTTAATTTATCTTCCTCAATTTAATTTATCATACGGTTAATTGATTTATTGTTTATTGTGACAGGCCTACATAGTTACGTACTTCTCGTAATTGAAGCTCATTTATTGGACGTTATGCAACGTTGGCTGGAAAAGTACCTTGGTACACCTTGGTATTCTTGCTGTACAGCCTGGATTTTAAATCAACATTTAATTAGATTATAACCAAAATGCCCACATAAAACACTTCTTTGATGGGGAGAGGGTGATGTAAACACAAGGTTCTGTCTTTGGGATCCTACTTAAAACTGTAGGACTGAAACATTTGGTTATGACACAGTGTCTAAAATTTGGAAATTGACTCACGCCTTAAGGAAATGAAAACAGATTTTTTTTGGGTAGGCCATTGAGGACAAAGTGAAGGCAGGTAACTTTATAAATTCCTTAAAGTTGCCGTCTCCACTCCAGGATGGGACTACAGTGGTGCTGCCTGCCATGGGAAAAATAAATGGTCTGAACAATCTGCCTCTGCCACAGAGGCAGTTTGTTCTTTGGTTGTCCGTTCTGAAACTAACACTTTCCTTGATAATTTCTTTTTTAATCTAACCTTCTGGAGGGCGGACCATAGATTCTCTAAGCTTTAGAAACTAACAGTTTTCCGCCCGTCCGTAGAGAAGCGAAAGTGACGGACGGACCGCCGTCAGTCACTTTTGACAGCTAGATTCTCTCCGGGGAATCAAAAGCTGAAAACTGTGTCAGGTTTGGCCCCTTCACGCCAACGGGGAAACCTCACAGTGTGGAAAACCAACCCCTGGTTTTTCCACCTTTAGAAACTCTCCAGACTGAAGTTTTATTCTTAAACCTGGGTTCCAGTAGAGGCTTTGCCTTCTTCTAAGGCTGACGTGGATGTAAACGAGTCAAAGAGCACGCCCCTGTTCGACGGTCTGAAGACAGATTCTCCAGCAGCACCCCCACCTACCTGGCAGGTGACAGAACATCATCTCAAGGTAAAACCTGGCTGTGTGTGATGACGAGGTCTGACCGAAGCTGAGTAAAGAATGCTTTGCCCTTCTGGTTAAAACCCACATTATTTAAGATAAAAGTATAAGAAAGTTAACATCTTTCTTCCTTTTTCTTAAACTCTTCTTTGCCAACCCTAAGATAAACTTGCCTCAAATGTCTGGTGTTTAACGTCTAAACTAACATTTGTGTTCTATTTAAGTGTGGTTAACAATTAAGAAGTTAAAAGCTTGTTATTGTTGGTCCCAAAACTTTTATAGGAAATTAACTGTTCACAATCAAGTGTACTCTAGTGATTTTGTATGATTTGTAAAATAAATGATCACATATTATGGTTCAAATTAACATTCACTGACTGAGAGTTACTTTTTGTGTCCATTCATTTTTGCACTAAAGGAATGTTTACCCAAAATAAAAAGAGATCCCTTGTTAATTAAATTACTCTTATAACCTTGTTATAAGAAGTGTAAGTTAAACCCTTACATTGATATCTACTGAAATTTTCATATCGGTGCATCCCTAATGATTAGTCGATTATAAAAAAAACTATCACAAAAATACAAAGTTAGAAAAAATTAATAAATAAAAAAAATGACGTATCGACTATTAAAGGCACAGTGTGTAGGATTTGTTGTTTTCAGCGACATCTAGTGGTTTAATGGTAGAAT